CTCCCGTTTCCCCCCCGACACCCACCGCCACCCTCCCGTTTCCCACCTCCGAGACCCACTGCCACCCTCCCGTTTCCCCCCTCCAAGACCTGATATGGGAGAACCCGGGGTCTCCAGGAGGACTCACCCTGAGGGGTTCTGGAAGGACTTTCCGGCAAACCATAGGATGTGCTGATCGGATAGACCTAAGGGCTGACTTTCAGGGGGAGCCACTGGGAGTTGCGTGCACACAGGTCTCCTCCCTCTCAGGCAGCGTGGTGGAGTGAAGGCCACCAACCACTGGTAGAGCCAACTCCTCCTTCCGGTCCTGCTCTCCCATTTTACAGATGACAGGACTGAGGCCCAGAGGCTCAAAGTAGGCAAGACATCCAAGAAGGTCTTAGAGAGAAAAGGTGTGAAGTTTCAGGGCTGGGATCTTCCCCAGGTAGCATCGCATGGCAGAGGGCCTGGCCAACCAGGGGTCTCGCCCTGGTCCTGGGTTCAGGAGATGGGTGGTGAGAGTCCCCGGGAGCTGACCCTGCCCGCTGCGCTGACGTGCGCTTGCTGGGTTTCAGTGCTCGGTGCCCTGCGGAGTGGGGCAGAGGACTCGGGACGTGAAGTGTGTGAGCAACCTTGGGGACGTGGTTGACGATGAGGAGTGCAACATGAAGCTGCGGCCCAGCGACATCGAGAACTGCGACATGGGGCCCTGCGCCAAGAGCTGGTTCCTCACCGAGTGGAGCGAGAGGGTAAGGACGGCGGTGGGTGGACTGCGGTCTGCCGGGCAGGTGGGCAGCAGCTCCGTGCCACCAGCTGCCCCAAGCGCGTGAGGACACGCTGCTAGAGCAGAATCCCCAGGGTAACTCCGGACTTGGGGGAAAGGCCCGGAGCTGAAACAGCGCAGGCTTGCTGCCTTTTTATGCATACCGAGGGCTCCGAGATCCAGGCGTGGGCTGCAGCAATCCACTGAGCTCTTCCTAACACACTATCCATTTGAATATTAAATAATGAAATGCTAAATAAAGTGAATAACTACCTCACACCTCTCCTACCTACATTTTGGGAGTGCCTGGCGTATGATGGGCGCTCAGCCAGTGGCAGGCGCCTTCCCTGCTTCTTACGAACTCAGAACAGCCCGCGGAGTTCTCCTCCCCAGGAGCCTGGCCTCCCAGGGGCCCCTGATGTCTGGCATCAAGGATGAACTCGAAGGCGTAGATGGTTCATCAGGAGCCCACTGGTTCCCCGTGTACAGGGAAGCCAATAGGGATGGAGTTCATCTATCAAAGACAAAAATCAGATTTACCTCAGGAGAGAGAGGGGTCGTGGAGCTGGCTGGTGGTGATGGCTGCACAACAGTGTGGGTGGAAACGCCTCCGACTCAGAGGCTGGGGAAGATTAAACTGGTACCTTCCATCTTACGCGCATTTTACCATAGTGAAAACTCGGGGGAAATACTGAGCGCAGTTACAGAACATCCCCTGGGGAGAGGGAGGGCGCGAGGGGTGATGAGCTGGGCCTGCCGTTTTTGGGGGAAGCTGCTGATTGGCTGGCAGTGGGGGTGTTCTGACCAGGGCGGCTGAACCACTCATTCATGAACCGTTTCTGGGTCTCTGGATTCTCCAGAGGACCTTGGAAGTTTAACTGGGATACAGGCATGAGTGACTGCCTCTGCCAGTCTGTCCTTAGTGCCTCCCTCTCAGACCAGGTCTGCAAAGTTCCCCTTATCAGAATCCTGCACAGTGCTTCCAAACTGTAATGTGCCTACAAGTCACCTGGAAACCTTGTTACAGGGCAGGATCTGAGACAGCACTGGGAGGTGGGCTCCCGGGGACCTGCGGCTGCCCTGGAGCAAGGGTAGAGGACCAGCCAAATGCACAGAGCCTTAGGAAACACTGCTGAGCTCGTGGGTCCTGTCCCCCGGGCATCGCTGGGCCAACAGTGCGAGATCTCAAGCTCAGAGGAGTAAACGGTCACCTGCCAGCGGACTCGCACCCACACCGCCACGCCAGTTGATTCCGATTGGCCAGCATCCATTCTAAGCAGTCAGAGCCCACCAGGGACCCACTACTGAGTGTTCTGAGCATCCACCCTGCAAGTATGCACATGGGTTTCCACTCCTTTCGTGTCATAAGAAGCCCCCATGGTCCTATCCCTCTCATCAGACAGTAGTGACCCACAGCAGTGGGCAATGCCACTGAGAAATAAAGGAGGAGCAGACCTGTGTGGCAGCCCTCACGCCACATTCAGAACCATCCTGGAGATTCTCACCCAGTAATCTGGCTTCTTGTGGGTTCCCGACCTCTTGTGGCTTACAGCCCCTGTCCCTTAACCCCAAGACGGTCCTCAGATAGAGACTTCCTAATGCAAAGACCGACCTCTAGGAGGAGCAGCTCACAGTGCCTCCTGTCTCAGGGGTGGACTGCAACGGCCAGCAGATTAGCCATCAGGCCGGCACTGGCCAAAGGGAAACTCACAGAAAGCAGGTGCCAGTCTAAAGGTGTCTGCTGACTCAGACTTCTGCCCCTAAAGCTGAGTGGGGCAGCGTTCACCCCGGTTTTGTTTGGTACCCCTCCTCTCCAAGCTCCCGACCGTGTACATTAGCTCCTGGCCTTGTGGAAGCAGTGCTGGGGTGCGATTCAGAATCACCCGGCTTAGCCAGCACGAGGGAGCCCTGCGGCGCCCAGGCACAGGTCTGGTTGCTCTGTCAGAGGGGCACGGGGTGTCGAGACACATTGTTTCTAGCGCAGCCTGTGCTGTCAGGAGGTTTCCGTTCACACTGAACCGAAGTGTCTCTTGCCGACCCCTTCTCGGGCCCTGTAGGAAATCTGAGCGCGCTCTCCTCGCATGGCCGCCCTGCAGACACCGAGGGACACCTTCCACTTCTTACCCAGGCTAAACATCCCCCGTTTCTTCGACTAATTCTTTCGTGTTTCTGGATGCCTGGTCATCCCAAAACTCACTCGTGCTCACGGTAAACTTGATGGATTTAGTGTGTAAGCCAGTGAATGAAAAGAATGATGCCGGCTTTCATTTTCATATTGGAAAGATTCCTTTTAAAATAATATTCTTTCTTTGGTTGTAACGTAACATATGCTATCATAAAAAATATTTAATAATCAGAAAAGCAGACCTGTCATCTCTTCACTAGAAGATAACAATTTAAAGTATTTAAGGTATGCTGCCAAGCTCTTTTCTATTTGTACATACTTGGCGTTTATAGCTTTTTTATACTCATATTTATTTTAAGGATATAAATCATAATATACGTATCCTTTGGTAACCCACTTTTTTCACTTACATATTTATTGTAAACATTTTAAGGCTATCGAAAACCTTTCATGCACGACCAGATCTTAATCAGAATAAAACACTTCAGTACGACTACTAAGACTGAGCCAACCCCCTGTTCTTTATTTCCCCTCCAGTAAAGGCTTATAAATTTCACTTTAATGTCAATTTCCTTTGTATTTTCACATAAGTACTTGCTGGATTGGACCCTTTTCTGAAAATTCTAAATAGAGGAAAGAATGAGCACTTTATTCCTCTGTTTAGAGAATATTTTATTACTCTTTTTTGGAAAAGATATTTTAAGCCATGTAAGTTTGGCGCTACGTGGTAAGTAATTTTGCTTTACCCCCAGGGTAGGTTATTCCTCTAGAACGTTCACGCTAGTTTTAGAGTAGCTGAGCTGGGAGAAGGTGTGGCTGGGTTTGAGGGAGGCACGGGGGCTTTGGGATCATTTCCCCAAGGACTTAAACATCAGGTTAGAACTTGAGCAAACTGCTGACTCTCTGACCCTCAGTTTCCTCATCTGTAACATAGCAGAGCGAGCATGAAAGACGCACACCCCTGAAACCACGACGTAGCAGAGGGCGCAGTGAGATGGGCCTTCGAGCTACCAGTTAGCCTCTCGAACGGTTCAGCCCCCCAGGAATGACCAGCTGATGGCAGCCGTCCACATTTGCGAGGGGGCTTTGTATAAAAATGACCCCGTTAAGCTTTAGCCTGCACTATGCGGCCGTCCACCCCAGGAGCAAACGTGTCCTGAGCATCTCCAACACGCGAGGCAGGAATGAGACTCAGCCTCCATTTCATGAGCTCACGAGGGAGAGATGAAAGAAGACGAGATTTAAGTGTACAAACACTTAAAGGTTCAGAGCGTGTCCTGTTGCTCAAGTTAATCTCCACCTGACTGAGTTGACATTGGAAACAACCTGAATCTTCTCAAACTTCTAGGGCCCAGGGGTCTCCCGACTTGTTGGCTCCTTTGAGGAAGCTCCTCGCAGCCGCCTTCAGTTGAGGCTGGGCCTCGTCAGGCCTGGGGCATTGTGTACCTTTTTGTTCTGCAAATCATGACAAGTTTAAACACACGTGCAGTTTTTAATCATAACAGAAAAAAAAAGAAATCTTAGCCCTCCAGCCTCAATTTTTTAACAGCCAATTTCTTCTAAGGATGTTTTTTTCCAAAGGAAAAAATAAGTAAAGATACTGAGTTATTTACGTCACAGATGATGCGTAAAACTGAAGTTCGGGAATAATCGTTAGAGCGGATGGTCCCTGAGGGGCAGCTGGGCTGAGTTTAGCGTTTAACTGATGCTGGAGTGAGAGGACAGTCCTCACCCGAGAGCTGCCTAGAATTGCAGGCGTTTCTGTGTTCCGTCAGCCCAGGAGTTCAGTAGGGAGTCTGGTCCTTTTCGGGCTCCCACAGTGAGTTTGGTCCTTCCCTTAGGCAGATCCTTCAGAGACAGTGTGTGTCGCTGCCTCACTTTGAAGGTTGGTCTCTGCTGCCTGGTAGGGACCCCCGTTCTCCTCAGTCCGGCGGAGACGCTCCCTGGGCCAAGTCCAGTGCAGGCAGCTCCCTTCAGTTTACATTTGTTTCGCTTTTTGCTGCAGTTGGCATGATAAAGTGATGCTCCTCTGCCGGGCTCATCCTTGCCGTGTCCTGTCGGTGGGCACTGGCTTGGTCCTTAACATTCTTCCTCTCAGTTAAGCACATGGGGATGTGGGAAACGTTCCCAGATGCATGCACATGACTTGATTTGGAAAGCAGAAAACTGAGTCAGAAAGTCCATGGGACATTACGTGGAAAGAAATATTCTTAGGATTTGAAAAAATGATAACATAGATTTGACTTACCTTGTGTTCTGCAGGGGAATTTAAATATCTTGAGTGTTTAATATTAGGAAAAAGACCACGTAATACATGTCTGAAGCCAAAACACAACTTTCAGCCTAGAATATTCCAGTTACTGTAACAAAGGATATTTTTTAACCTAAGGGACTGATTCATTGTCTCAGATTTCTAATAATGCAGATAGAGTGTAAGTCGTGAAAAGTCTTTCGGAGCCTGTAGGGGAGAAAAAACTTTTCCTCTACCCTCGTATGTTCTGTGCTGGAAGCCTGCGAATTAAGCTGACAAAAGCCATGTTAATAGGAGAAAAGCATGTAAATTTTATTTGGTTTTTTTTTAACATGGCACAGGGGGCTTCATAGAAAAGAAGTGAAAATCTCCAAGAAGTGTTTAGACTTGAGGACTTATGTACCATTTTTACAATAAACAATAAATTATAAATGACTAGGCAAAGGAAAGGGGCTTTAGCTTCCAGGGGCAGTAAATTGTAGAGTAGTGGATGAGAAACTGATGGAAGATGAGGGTTATTTCAGTAAGGTCTGTTTGTGCAGACTTACCTTGGCATCAACCCCCCATCATCAAGTAATAAGAATGTTCTCCTCTTCCTGTTACAAAGTGGAAATTTCCCACAGGAAATTTACACCCTGCTTTTAGGCAGCAAAGGGGAGGGCAGAGAACCCTCCCTGCATCTGCTGTTTCTCAACTGCCTTCAGCTCAAAATAATCAACTGCTGGGGAAGGGAGAGCATAGTTCAGGGGCAGAGTGTGCGTTTAGCTTGCGTGAGGTCCTGAGTCCAATCCCCAGTACCTCCATTAAAATAATAATAATCATCAATATGCCAAAGCAGCATGCTTAGGGGTGACATGCTCTAATCCCTTTTAAGCTATTTGCTCCAGAGAGACTTCCCCCCTGAGGAGTCAGACCCAGCTTCGCAGCAGTCATGTAAATGTGTAATTACTCATCCTGGGCTGTGTTTTTATAAGACTAGACAGCAACGCACAAAAAAGAAAACAGAAGCTTTGATAAGGAAACCGGAGTGTTTGGTCCTCCTCTGCATCTTTTGGGAGTGGCCCCGGGCCCCGCGGGGTCCCCCCTCTGAGGCGCCCTGTCCTGTCCCGCAGTGCTCGGCGGAGTGCGGGGCTGGAGTGCGGACGCGCGCGGTGGTGTGCATGACCAACCACGTCAGCAGCCTGCCGCTGGAGGGCTGCGGGAACAACCGGCCGGCGGAGGCCGCCCCCTGCGACAACGGGCCTTGCACGGGCAAGGTGGAGTGGTTTGCCGGGAGCTGGAGCCAGGTGAGTGGCCGGAACGCGGGTGTCTGTCTGCCCCTGGCGAGAGGCAGCAGGGCAGAGGGGCCAGGAAGCGGGGCGCTGTGTTACCGGGGACGCGGGGTCCGTCACCCGTGGCCCTGGAGAAGCCGCTTCTGATGCTCTTGGAGCCTCGTTCGGTCAGCGGTACTTACTGAGCACCCACTCTGTCCTCTTCCAGGCCCGTGGGAAACATCAGTGAGCAAAACAAATCTCTCTCCCCGCAGGGAGCTTAGGCCCACGTGGCTTTCTTGTCTATAAAGTGCTGGTCATGACAGCACGTATGAGGCGACTTCTAGAAGAAACAAAGTCCTGTGTACAAAGCATGTGTCACAGTGCCTGGCACACAGTAAACGCACAATAAATCGTAACTTCTACTGCTATTATTTTTGTTCTTAGTAAAGCCAATTGTGTCTGTATTTGAGCGTCAAAGGCAGAAATGGATGTGACCCAGCAATTCCACTTCTGGAGCTAAGATGATTACCTGGGAGAGACAGCTGCACCCCACTGTTCACAGCAGCATTATTCACGGTAGCCAGGGTACGGAAATGAGCTGTGTGTCCACAGATGAACAGACGAACTGTGCCCTTTGTTCACAGTGGACTATTATTCAGCCTTAAAAAAGGACGTCCTGCCATTTGTAACAACATGGATGGGCCTGGAGGGCATTATGCCAAGTGAAATAAGCCAGACACAGAAGGACACGTACTGCAGGGCAAATGCTCACATGGAAATCTGAAATAACGTCAGACTCAGAGAAGCAGAGTAGAATGGTGGTTGCCAGGGGCCGGGGGTGGGGGAACGGGGAAGAGGCTGGTAAAAGGGTCCAAAGTAGTTATGAGATGAGTGAGTTCCGGGGCTCTGATGTGCAACGTGGTGACTGTAGTTTAGCAGGTAATGCTGTACTGTACAGTTGACACTAACAGAGTGAAACCCAAGTGCTCTCCCATATACACACAAAACAGGTAAGCATGTGAGGGGATGGATGTGTTAACTTGACTGTAAGGAGCCTTTCCCTGCGACGTAAATCATGTCATCGTGTGTGTACGTTAACTGCATTACAGTTTGATTTGTCAGTTTTGTGTCAGTAAAGCTGGGGGAAAGGAGCAGAGATAGACAAAGTGAAGGTTGTTCTGTGTAAAGAACCGATAATACTGAACACTTCAGTAAAGCAATGAATGAAGTAACTTAATTGGTCAATTAATTTTTTCCTTAGTGTTCCAGAATTGAACATGAGCCCCCAGAGAGCGTTCCCTCTTTGCCCTGTTATGATTACCGTCAGTACTTTGAGTTCTCGGGCAATTTAGCATTTGGCTCCCAGGGCTGGCTGGTTCTCCAAAGACTTTTTGGCTGATAATCATGATTTACACATTATCTGGACCTCTGGCTCCATATAGAATTTTATTTCTTTTAAGTAGCTTTAAAAGCAGACCCTGAAAAAAAAAATGGACGCCTTGTCCTTGTAAATTGATACAACCCCTTTGGAAAGCAACTTGGCAATAAAAGTCAAGAACCGTAAAAATGCTCGTTCGCCTGAACCCACTCACCCCACTCTTGGGACTTCATTTTAAGGAGAAAAAGAGACTTTTTCAACAGAGGTGTTCCTGAAGCAGGGCGGTTGGGGTTATTATGGTCTATCACAGCTCGTTCAAATGTTACGTAGCGACAACAATGACAATTAAGGAGACGTGGAAATTATGTGTGGTATAATGGCAGGTGAAAAACAAAACATGAAAATACATGAACCCTGTCTCAGCCACTTCAGAGTATAGTTTTTTATATAAACAACATAGGGAAATGTTTTCTTCTCACATTTCCTTTAATGTTTTTATAATACAAGCTGCAAAATATAGAAAATTCATGGGGAAAAAAAAGAGAGAGAGAGAATTCAAGTCCGTCCAGTGCTGCCTGAGTGGGTATCAGAGCGAGACAGACGCGGTGACTGACCCCAGCTCTGCTTCCCTTGGTTCTCTGATGTGGGGCAGGTAGTCTAACCCCTCTGAGCCTGTTTCCTCACCCAAACATGAGGGCAAATGCCAGCCTCCTAGGGTTGTCACTGGGTTTTCATGAGGCGCGGCACGGATAAAGGGTCCCCACTGCCTGGGATGCGGGGAGCACTTACTAAGTATCACTGTCCTTTCCTCCATGCTTGTTGTTTTCTTCTGCCAGTGTTTCTATCTCCTTGTTGGCAGCAAAGCACCGAGGATCTAGACCCCAGGGGTGACTCAGAAGTGGAGTGTGTATGGGGCACTGATCGCACCGAGTAGCCCTGGAGACCGAGGCCCCGGGAAGAGCCCTGGGAACCTGTAATGTCGGGTCAGAACAGCGCCCGCGCAGGCAGGAGAAGCAGTGCGTTTCACCCGCACGTCCCCCAGGGTCGGACGCGGAGCGGGAGCAGGGCTCGGGGCTTTTTGCCTGTGGGTCTCCTGTCGACTGCAGACCTCCTCGGAGAACTGAGAAGCGTGCGAGTCCTGGTGAAGGCAGCATTCATTTCTGCTAAGATTAGAAACATAGAATGTATTACCCTGCCATCCAAAGGGTTGGGACGTGGTTGACAGCGGGCAAGGTTTTAGTTCTGACTTTATAAGAAGGTCAGAGCCTGCCGGCACCTCCCTGCCCTCGGAGTGCGATATTATCCCCAAAGAAAATGAAATGCAGCACGCTTATTTATTGAAAGCAAGTCTTAAACATGAACTGACTGAAGAGTAGAAAAAGAAATATTCCTTCCAGCCGCGTGGTTTGCATGAGAATGGGCCTCTGGAACACCCCACCAGCCCGGTCACAGTGACCAGCCCAGGGTGGACGTGTGGCCCAAGCCGAGCCAAACGGAGTCCTTCGCTGGGACTTCGAATGTGGACTCGGGGAAGAGACCCCCGGGAAGCCGTGAGCACGGGGCCTCGCAGGGGCCTCGCAGGGGCCTCGCAGGGGCCGTGCTGCGGGTGCGGAGAAGCCGGCGGGAGAGACGGAGACCCAGCAGGCTTGGGGAGGCCTTCTCTCCTCTGGAGGCAGAGCAGCCGGCTCTCGCTGGTGAGGGTTTCCTCCAGGTCTGTTACTCACGCCCAGGAGCTTCCCTTCTTCCCTGCAGGTTCTGGGTTTGCTTCTCCCTTCGGTCTCCTTAGTTCCTGGGGCCTTTCACAGCCTTTAACCGTCGGGAGCAGCCCTCTCGCCCGCCCTGGCGTCTGCATCACGTTTATCCCCAGTGGCGTCTGAGCAGACAGCGCCACTCTCATCGCTCTCGGAGCAGTGCGCCACCAAAGTCCGACCGCAGGGATTCTCTAGGTGTCGGAACAGGCCTGGCTGCTGACACGTCTCAGGGGAAGCGCTCGTCCCTGTCAGACCCCGCGCGGCCTTCTGCGCTTTCCTCCACAAGCTAACGTTTCATCTGGTGTTTGCGTTACCTTGTTTCTTATTGTTGATTTTCACCTGCGAGACCGCTGTCAGCTTCTTATGCATTTTGTATGTTAAGTCTTTTGAATGTGGACTATTTTAGTCTTGATTTTTACGCGGTCCACATGTTTCTATTTTTCAAGAGCTACATTTTAACCGTTCACATTTATTGTAACCACCTACCTGCAGGGACTTTCTCCCGCCGTCTTATCTTGCGTCTTCTGTTTGGTTTTCTGTTGCCATGCTCTGCTGGGTTCTTCCCTCTTTCCTTCTACACGTTTGTGTTGGTCGGGTTTCCTTAATTCCGTTTCCCCCTCTAACATTTTGGGAGTTATCATTCCTATTTTTATTCATCTAGTGATAACAGAAGAAAAAGGATTCAGCATATGGTTTAAACTTGGATATTTCTATCAGCGTCGAGGCATCAGCAACCACGTCCTCCCCTAAAAGAAAACAGAAGCCTCAAGTTCTTCTGTTTACCTCCTGCCTCAGTCTGCAGTACATGCACAACAATGCTGAGACCATCTGGATTTAGCTCCATATTAATGTTAATTAATTTTATAGAAAATACTAATACTAATTTAAATTTTAAAATGCCTTTTTTCCCCTCCAAAGTTTTCTTAATCAAAATATAATTCAACATCATAAAATTTACCCTCTTAAAGTATGTAATTTAGTGATCTTAGTATATTTACAGAGTTGTGCAGTTGTCACCACGATCTGATTCCAGAACACTTTCATCATGCCCAGAAGAAATGAAGTCTAGACTAGTTTCCCTGTCTCCTGACTTCAGTCCAAGGTTCTCCTGCCACCGCCAGCACCCCACCACCCCCAGACCCTTTGCACGCACCTTGCTCCTGCAAGAGAAGCCAGACCTTTGCCTGGCAGCCTGTTGCTCCCCTCCTGCCTCCATTTCTTT